CTTCACAGTTGTAGTATACGAAAACTTTTACATTGGAATCTTTGTTATAAGTTACAACTTCTTTTCAAAAATGAAACATAGAGAGTACTAACTACAAAAAAATGCATCCTTTCTGCTTGTGGCTTCAATAATTGAACAAATAACAGAAATGATCTCATCAAATGGATTCACATTTTGACTGCTTTAGGTTGACAATATTCATTCATGTTTTGATCATCAAAATCAGTAGTAAAGACTAAAGAGTGTATATTGTTGTTTATATGAACCGAAACTATGATGTGACTCTACGTAGTAGAAGTCATAGTCGATCCGCGACATTCAGACAACCATAAGTCGATGTGTTCTTCCATCTGTTGCCTCACTTTGTTTACAGCATCTGGTGAGCTGCAATGATTTGATTTACCTGAAAAACAAACAATTCTTGATCTCAAGACAAGACCTCCTTTTGACTTATGAGACAAAACACACAAGTGCTTATACCTTCAATGACCATTGGAGATTGAGGACATCCTCTTAGATCAGTTCCATGGCCACAGTTAGTGCAATTCATGATGTAAGAAGGCACTGGCACATTTAACTTGTCAGCAAAATGCACAAATTTGAGATATAACTTAAGCCAAGTTGACATCAATAAGAAACTTTACATTCAGGAGATGAGGTCTGTTTGGAAGCATGTCTCCATGGATCTTGTGACCCATTTGTGAAGATGATTTTGGTTGCTGTAAGTTTCCGAAAAAATGATCACATTGTGCAAAAAATATAAAATGTATTTGAGACGGTTTTCGTGTCATATACCCGCAATTCTATCGCCACCATAGTACATGTTTGTTGCATCAACTTTAGGGTATACACCTTCCCCAAAAATGCTCTTGCATAAATCCAAATGGTACCTAACAAAATAGGCGAGATAGCAAATAACAAGGCGACCATAAGTGTGTGACTTTCGAAAAGCGTTTCTAAAAAATTGTGATTCAAGAATGTTACTCTGTATTGATTTTCTGAGATCGAACGCAATCATTTGGAGGTGCTACTTGGAAATATGCTACTTCTGTGCAAACTTGAAACCACCATAGCCGATATGCACTGTCTGCGGTAACTACAGTGTTTCTCAGATGTTTCCGGTTATATATTCTAACGCGTAGTCCCCAAACTCTCATACAATACTCTCTAACATATCTAGAATATGTTTCCTGCATTTACAAACCCAACATAGAGTTTTTAGTAAACACAAAATGTTTATTTCCAAGGCGATTTGCAGCGTGGAGAGAGGGAGAAAACAATGTGAGCTTACCACTAAATCGCTACCGTTCTTCTTTGCTTCAACAAGCAGAACACATAGTTTATCTGGATTTCCATACTGGAACTGCAAGATTTTGAACAGTAAGTATCAATGATCAGTCAAAGACTAGAAAGAACTTGGAATGAAACAAAAAAAAATGAAAATGGATAATCCTTACTGCCATAACCGCTGCATCTGCGGTTAAGTATAAGAAATCAGCATCAACAAGAAGCTGCCAATTTCTGAAAATCATTAGATTGAAGTGGGACTTCTATTTTTCCACTATTATCAGTTCCAAAGCAGAACTAGAGGGAAATTAAGAAAAGCAGAGAAAGAGAGAGAGACCTCGGTGGCGTTAAAGAGCGCTTTCACCGCATTTCCGTTTACTTTAAGCCTCAATTCCAAGAGTCTATTAGTCTCCTGTAATACAGCTTTGCATTCCGGACCAGCTGACTCACCTATCTGCTCGATCAAAATAAACACCTTCACACCATCTTGCAAAGTACATTATTGTCTAATTCCATTCATACCGAACAACAATAATTAAAAAAAAAAAATACTATGTTACTGATACCTGCTGATCTAATTCAGAGAATTCGTAGACAGAACGAAGAACTGCAGAACTAGCGAGGCTTCCACAAGTCAAATGCGGGAACTTAAGACGGAACCACGCACTTAAAGCTCCCGAATAAGAAATCCCGAAGAAGAACCACGGATTCTCATTACCACCACTACTTGTATTCAACTTAACATTCAAAGATTCCTGCATCAAACATCCTCTTACAATGCAGACACAGAATCTCAAGCATAATGGTATGATAAACAAAGCAAAGCAAGACTTGCCTGGTAATGTTTACGGAAAGCAGCCAAATCGAAAAGGGCTTGTTTCGACGAAAGGTATTTCATATTCTCTGTAGCTAATGAGTTAAAAGGAGAACTTTTTCCGTAGTACCTATGTTCTAATGAAACCACTCCAGCTTCAAACTTCTTTGCTAATACCTAAATACATTTTCATGAAGAAAACATCAAATATCTTTCAAATATTTAGACAAGAATTCGTGTTGATAAAATCTTACACTTATATAATCATTAGCTATGCCACTGCAAGGACCTTCACCACATATTATCATAAAGACAGGACCATCTGGAGCTCTGAAATTTTCCATATATTCATAGTATCGTTGTCTGAATTTACGATGATCCTACGAAAACAGAGCAAATGAATCTGATAATCTTTCCAACATATTTTGAATACGATCAAAGTCATTAAGAAATCGATGAAGAGAAGTTTTACGTAAGGAGAGTAATGATCTAGGGTTTGATTGAACCAAAGCTCATTGGTAGTTAAAAAATGGCTGTTTCTTGAAACACCATGAGACACAGTATCAGGATGTAATAAGGCATGAGACAATGTCGAATAACACGAAATCGTAATGAAGGTGGTGATCAGAAGAATGGCAAGCTCCGACGACATTTTCCGGCGTGGTAACCGGTTTCCGGTTATCTAGTTTGTTTGTTTGTTCCTTTCTTGACTTTTATTCAAACTGTGTCAAAGCGTCAAACCGGAAAGAGAGGAAGACCACTTTCTAAAGAGGGAATTAAATCGACGGCTATAAAACAATGGCTAAGATCGAATCTAATTAAGGAAAGTGAGATCCGTTGTCTTAGTGGAAGCGTGTGTTCTCAATGTTTATAAACCAAGCTAGGGG